CTTCAGAAATCATTCTAATATGCTGATTTGCTGCTCAAGAAACATTTATTATTATTATCAATGATGAAAACAGTTGTGCTGCCCAATATTTTTGTGGAAACCATGATATACTACTACTTTAATAAAGCAATAAGCTCCAAGAAGCCATGGTTTACAGTGAATATGATAATGAACCCCCTTAGCTGTTATAGATTCACTGTAAACCACGGCTTCACGGGGCTTACTGCTTTTATAAAACGGTTATTCCATATACGTAGTTAGGTTTCACAAAATAAAACAGAGCAAATAAAGTGTAATGATATTAATAAAAACAGTATTCTTCCACCAAACAATGTAGCTCCTCAGAAACAGTTGTGGTTCCAACAAAGTGGTTGCCGAGCAACAGACAAACGTAAACAAAGGTTTGAACTTTGCTCAGCCAATCAGAATCAAGGACCGGAACTCTCCGTTTTATAAAAAAGATTTTAAAAAATTAATACTTTTATTCATCAAAGATGCATTAAATTGATCAAAAGTGACAGTTAAGACATTCTCAGAGATTCGATTTCAAATAAATGCTGTTCTTTTGAACTTTCTATTCATCTGTGAATCCTGAAAAATAAAATGTATCACAGTTTCCACTAAAATATTGTGCAGCACAACTGTTTTCAACATTGATAATAATCAGAAATGTTTCTTGAGCAGCAAATCAGCATATTAGAATGATTTCTGAAGGATCATGTAATGTAATCATGTATGTGTTTGAGGTGTCAGACGGGTTAGTTGGTGGAGGTTGAGTCTCACCTGGTACACATTTGGCACACGGCGAGCCCCAGGCCGCCCCCAGCGTAGCACAGCAGTGAGACTTCAGCGTCGCTCCGTTAATGTTAACCTCACACGGTCCATTCACCATCTTCAGCCAACACGTGCCCTTAGTGGTCTCTGACACACACACACACACACACACGCACACACGCATGAGGCTTTAACACACACGTGTGATGAGTGTGACAGGAAGCGCACTCACCCACACACAGAGTTCTTGAGCTGTCCAGAATGCTTCCCGCGGAGCAGAGACACACGAACGACCCGGCGCTGTTCTTACACGCGCCGTTCACACACGGGTTACTCAAGCACTCGTCCACGTCTGAACACACAGACACACACACAAACACACACACACACAAACACACACACACACACAAACACACACACACACCACACACACACACACACACACACACTCACACACACACACACACACACACAAACACACAAACACACAAACACACTCACACACACACACACGGAGAACATAAGATGTGATTACAGCATGTAAACGCTCACAAAAGATTTTATAAAACTCAAAATGATTCATATAAGAAATAAAACAGCAAAAATCTACTACAGAATCAATGCTTGTTTTCACTAAATGAACAGCAGAACGAATCACACTGAATCATATCCAATTATATGAACGAACAGAATAATATAGTTCTATTTGTTCTATTTGTCACTACAACATTTTGACCATTAAAAAAGATTTGAAAAATGGAGATTCACTGAATCAAATTTTTACGAGTTTAAACTGATTCACTGAAATGAAGCAAATTTACCAACTCTATTCTAAATGTGATTTTACTGAATCATCTCTATCTGAACAATCTCACACAAGACGATGAAGAATCACGAAATAGTCTAATGACTAGTCTTTTTCTCACTAAATGAACACCTGAACCAGGGTTATTATGGTTAACTAAAAATAAAAGCATAAAAAAGTTTAAAAAAAAAAAGTTAAAATTGTTACTTGAAATAAAACATGTTAACTGAAATAAAATAAAATGTTAAAACCTTTTTTATTTTAGCTGGTTGGTAACTTTTACTTATTAATTTACTGAAATAATAAACTATAAAAATTAATACAATTATACAAATTAATAAGAACTCTATAAATATTAAAAAACTAATAAAAATGACAAAACACAATAAAATTATTTTAAAAACTATAACAGTATATCATTGTATCTGACCAGAGCACATCAGATTTAATTATTTTCATTAATATACACCAAAAGAATAATATACACAGTGATGAAAAAAAACACCATCATATATTTTTACTAAAACATTTTGTACTTGAAATATTCCTCAAGAACATTTACAAGTTAGGGTACAAACAAATAACTGAATCAAGTTATTCAAGTTCACAGAACTGAATCAAACTGACCAACTCATGCTCTGTTTTCAGGTGAAATGAGACACTATTATTATATTATATATTATATTCATGAATGTGACCCTGGAGCACAAAAGCAGTCTTAAGTCGCTGGGGTATATTTGTAGCAATAGCCAACAATACATTGTATGGGTCAAAATTATACATTTTTCTTTTATGCCAAAAATCATTAGGATATTAAGTAAAGATCATGTTCCATGAAGATATTTTGTAAATGTCCTACCGTAAATATATCAAAACTTAATTTTTGATTAATATGCATTGCTAAGAACTTCATTTGGACAACAAGTCGATTTTCTCAATGTTTAGATTTTTTTGCACCCTCAGATTCCAGATTTTCAAATAGTTGTATCTCGACCAAATATTGTCCTATTGACCCTTATGACTGGTTTTGTGGTCCAGGGTCACATTTTATGTAGTTAGTGTGATTTATGTCCTCAGCAGTGTGTGTGTGTGTGTGCGTGCGTGCGTGTGTGAGTGTGTGTGTGTGTGTGTGTGTGTGTGTGTGTGTGTGTGTGTGTGTGTGTGTGTGTGTATTACAGTTACACTTGTATGTTCGGAGCATGTTCTCGCACACGCCGTTCTGACAGATATCAGGATCCAGCGCACACTCATTTATATCTGACACACAGAGGGAGATTCACATCTAAACACATGCATGTGAACATACATGCACGTAAAATACATGGGTGAGTAAGATTTTTTTTTTTTCTTCACTTTTTAATGTTTAATTGTTTACTTAAATCTATAGATACTAATAGTTAATGTAAATTAAACTGTATTATTTATACAATTACAACATTTAATTATTTGTTATTCATTATGAAATCTGACCATGACATGTTCTTCACAGTTCTCTTCTATGT